CCTGATAAATTCCTTCAGGTGATTTGAGAAAGGAATGTGATGGGAACATGCCTACCTCATAGTAAGCCAGAGTTCCAGCCTCCCTGGTGTAGGGTCCAGCAGGGCCGGGCCCGGATGCTGGAGCTCCCACGGCAGTGTTGGATGGGTTCTGCAGGGTGAAGCTCTTTCCATAGGTTGGGAATCCCACCAGCAGCTTCTCAGCTGGGGCACCGTTGCTCTTCCAATAATTCATGGCGTATTCCTGCAAGAAACCACCCCTGCTCGAGTCTATGCTAGGATTTGCAGGCTGAATTCCTTGAAATCTCCTCAGGGGAGCAAGCAAGGATCTGAGAGCTGCGGGTGTCCCACAGAAACACTCACAACGTTGAAGTATTTGTTGTCCCCAGAGTCAGCAGGGCCGGCGTACAGGGGGCTGTTCTCGCCAGTGTTCCTCTCCCAGGATCCGTGGAAGTCGTAGGTCATGACGTGGATGTAATCCAGGTACCTGCAGGGAACAGGGGCTGTGTCCTCACCTGAGAGCTGACGGTACCCCTCACCCCCACAGCCCTCAGGGGCTCTTTCACTTCAGCACCCCCAGGAAACTCCTCAAATCCCACTGCTGACCCCACTCACTTGCCAATCTCAGCGATCTCGTAGCCAGCCTGGATGGTGGAAAGTCCAGCAGCCACAGCAGCAGTGACCAGGAGCCGGGGCTGGTTGGTCTGCTTGGCTTCCTGCTCAAAAGCTTCCAGCAATTCCTGAGGAATCCAAGGCACAGCAATCACCTGGGGGCTCACCTTGGGGCTTTGCAGGCACGCAGGGCTCAGGGGCCAGAGCTGTGGCCAGCAGAGCCTGGAGCTGAGCCCACCTTAACCAGGACGGTGAAGAGAGCCTTGTCCTGGGCGGGGCTGCCCCTGGAGCCGGGGTATTCCCAGTCCAGGTCCAGCCCATCAAACTGGTACTGGCGCAGGAATTTGATGGCAGACTTGATGAAGGTCTGGCGGTTCTCAGGAGAGGAAACCATGGTGGTGAACCTGGGCAAGCAGAGCAGGACAGAGGTGGGGTTGGAACTGAGCCTCTTCCTCCTCTCAATCGCTTTCTGTTAAGGGCAGGACATGTTTTGAACTCACTTGGCTGTGCCGAAATTCCATCCCCCAATGGCCAGCAGGGTCTTCAGATCTTTGTTCCTGCAAGGCAAGAGGCAGAACTCTCAGTTATTACATGTCCACAAACCTCTGAGCCCGTGTCCCCATGCTCAGGGGACCGTGTTGTCACCCTGCCCTGCCCGTGTCTCTGCCTCTTCACTCAGCATCTCTCACCCACTGTCCCCGAGCTGAGCCTGAAGCCCAGGCAGGGACTGGGGTGGAGCAGCAGCCCCAGCTCCCAGCACTCACTGGTTCTTGAGGCCATTGAAGGACTTGTACAGGGTCTCGTCGTTCCACTCGTACGTTGTCAGCTCGTTGTTGTTCATGCCAGCGAAGGCGTAGATCAGGTGGTTGCACAGGCAGGGGTCGACATTTTCGGGAGTAAACTTACCCAGGCCAGGTCTGTACTGGGCCCAGTTGGTGAAGTAGCAGGTCAGCACATAGGCAGTGCCTGCGGGGACACAATGGCCATGGAGGGGCTGCAGTGCCCTGGGCACAGCCCGGACCCTCGGGCACAGCCTGGACCCTGGGGCACAGCCTGGACCCTCGGGCACAGCCTGGACCCTCACTGCTGCTGCTGCTGCTGCCCCAGGGCAGGGCACAGCTCCCTGTGCGGGCCACCAGCTCTGGGAAAGGGCAACGGGCAGGGAACCCCTGGGACACTGCTGGGGATCCTTGGGACACTGCTGGGGATCCCTGG